CTTCCTCTTTTCTTACGACGCCCCTCAACTTCCATCTACTGATCAGCACGGTACACCCAGGGATGCCGTCTAGCTGACAAGTTAGAAAACAAAACTTGTCATGATGAGAGTCCCATTGGCCGCGCACGGTCTCTCTGTGCCTCACAGCCCATCAAAGCTAATGAAAAATAATTCTGATGAAGTCTTTATTATTTTCACAAGTCCACAGTGAATACACACTGTTTCTCTCTCTGTCCGTTTCCTCTTCACTCTCTCCGTGTGTGTCTGTATGTCAGTGTGCATGTGTGCCATGTTTCAAATGTGGGTGTGTGCTAATGGCTAACGGGTGGTACCATTATGGGTCCTGCGTGTGTTGTTCAAAGAAGGGCTGGAAGCATTAGCTGGGGTAAACTTCTCCCTGCTGTAAACAGTAACATGAGCTGGTTTCAAGGCGAGCAGCTGGACGTCTGACGCTCCATCTCAGCGCGATTACATTTTAATTAATTTTGATCAGGCTTTTTAAGACATCTTTTTGGCATCATCTCACAGGCAGCTTATATTACTTTGATGGTGTCTTGGTGAGCTTCTGTCAAAGAAGCCTACAAGATGCAAGTGCAAGCAGTAATTCAACATGCAGTGGGCCTTCTTACCCACACAAGAAATCTGCTGGTGTGTAAAGCACATGGTTGGTAAGACCACCGAAGCACTGTGTCTTAATCAATATATACTATTGGTAGTTCCATTAAATTGAAATAAACTGGCTGGAGTAAAAACCCCCTTAAAGGAAGACTAGGCAGCAGTGGCAGCTGTGACAGTAACAGCATGATGGCAAATGTTAAGATGTAATGTAACATTAGCTAAAATTATAGTTACCATTAGTTACTGGTATAACTAGACCAAGCAGGGCTGTAGCAGCAAAACGATATATTCAAATCACTTTAAAAATCAAAGTTTTCAACATAGTAAGTGTTGTAAAAAAGGCCTTATGCTCCAAATGCACCTGCATAAAAGCCTTTTTTATTACAGGGACTTACAATAGCAACCTGTGTAGCCGTTGTTCGGCTTTTGATTTCGAGATATTCCTTCTGAAGACCTTTAGAATAATGTTATAGAGATAAAGGAATGTTTGAGTCAACATCTTGTCATTTTGCTGTTGCCAGATGTGAAAAAGTGGAAGTAATATTAGGGTAAAACCGAAGTTGCCTGTTGATGGTAGATAAACATGAAGCATGAAGCTATGGCCAAGTTCTAACTTCTCTCAGCCAGTAAACTTGTTGACTGTCCGCACCTCAGCTGAGTTTCCCTGGTTACTCAGATTTATAGGAAACTGGCAGACTTCCACTGTGAGCATTTGCTCGCAGCATGAGCACGCCACTAGAAATCTATTCGGAAATTTTGTGGATGACAGCCCTTACTTGTAGCGTGGAATGCGTCTCTTCATAACTTTGATTCCCTTCAAGCCTGTATACACTGGAAACTTACTCTATTTCCTAAATAAGGTTTAAAATATTTGAAATAATTGAACTGAACATGCTGAAGTTCTAAAGCATCTCACTGATTCAAATAAGAAGGGCCCTGAAAAGACGTATTGTGAATGTGCTGTATGTGCAACCCACTCTTTTAGCCATCTGCCCAGGTTATATTAATTGTGTACTTTATGTATGTGTGCATGTATGTGTGTTTTGCACAAGGACACGTGGTTAAGACCCCTACTGTTCCTCCCTCCCGCCTCCCACACACAATCTGTCAGTCCTTCCTGCCGTCTAATACTGGACACTACACATTTACACACACACACACACAAGCTTTCACACACTTGTCTGAAGCAAACATGACTAAGGTAGATTCTCTGAAGCTACATGATGGTCCTTCAGAGGATCATGATGAAACACGTTGCAACTTCCTGTCATAGAGCTGTGCAGAACTAGAGTGGCCAAAGTGGCCTCCTGGTGCCACTGCAACTAAACTGAATGTCTCACTGTCAGTACTCAAGTTCTCACTAGTGTCTCATGCTCGCTCGCTGGCTCGCTCGCTCGCTCTCTTTCTCTTCTTCGTCCTCTACAATGAACTCAACAATGAAATCTCTCAACAAGTCACCATTGAGGCGTTGATATCATTTCTGCGGGGCTATTTTGTTCAAAGGGTAACATTGTGACAGAGTCGACATCTGCTTCATCTTTCTGTACAAACTGATCTTTTGCTCCTTTCTTCCCTCCCAAGTAGCCCTGCAGGCACTGTGGTCTTGTCTTTCTCTCTTCTTTCTGTCCCCTCTCCTGCTCTTCTTTAATTTATTGTGATTTGATTTCCAAGGTTGTTTCGCCTCTGTCGCTGATGATAAGGTTTTCATTTCTGTCTTCCTTTTTTGTAAAATTGACCCTTTTTTTGTTAACTTTAGTCACTGCTAATGTAACAAAACGCACTGTGATGATTCCAGTATTAATAAAAGTTGTACTTAAACTGTGCGCAGCTGTGTGAAGAGGGTCTTATTAGTCAACACAGAAACAAGGTTCAGGTCCTGAACCAACTCACACAGTTCAGTAGATACAGTACACAGAGAGAAGTGAATGAATGTGGGTCAGTGAATTGTCTGCATGCCTTCTAGAGCCACTGTGGGGCAGAGAGACAAACTGAACCCAAGAATTACTAACAGTGTGCCTCTGGTGCTTTCACTGTGAAGGTTCTGTGTGTTCAAATTGGTCAGGAAGAGATTACAAATAACAGGATAGCTGTAATTTTAACAACTACATTTTTTTTAAACTTAAATCAGACTCTGTAAATAAAAAGGCTTTTCTAAAAGAAATCCATAACATATTAGAAAGGCATTAATTGCTCTTATTTATTACTAAATAAAGATTTGGTTGAATAACAATTGTTGGCTCCTTATATACAGTCCACTGATGAGTCATGTGACTTGTAGCACACCATAGAGACTAAAAACAACATTATCATCAACAAAAAATACTTACTAGAAGTATACATACAAGAAAATACCATATTTACATATACAGAAATTTACAAGAGACCATGATACATAAAATATTGCAGCCATCTTTTCTGAATATTTATTAACAAATACAATCGCACTAGGGTTGCACCAATACCAGTATTGGGTATTGGGTCCAAAACTGTGCTCATGTACTTATAAAACTACTTTGATACTGC